TTAATAATGAAAAGCTGTCCCCATTTACCCTGTGTTTTCAAATTTTTGGGGTAAATGGGGACAGCTTGTCATTATTAACCAAATTAACAAAAATCAAAAATTCAAGTGAATTTCTCTTATGGGAGTCATAAGGAATAAGAAAAAAATTTGTTATGATTTTTAAGTCTGTTTTCTTTGAAATGCGAGAGAAAATACTGAAACAGTTTGACTTTGATTTTCAAGTTTTTATGCATTGAGCGATAACTTTTTTTATCTTGCTGCCAATTGTCAAGATAAAAACTTGAAAATACTTAAAACCTCTTGCAGGTGATCTGAGGTTAAAATATTGACGTTGAACTTCATTTTAAAACTGTAAATTAAGCTCCAAAACTTCTTGTCCCCATTTACCCCCTGTCCCCATTTACTCCAACTGATCCTATTTGAAATGATTTTTCAATTTAATTTTATGATAATTATAAACAGTTTTTAAAATTTAGTTAAGAGCAAAATTTCAAGGATAAGTTATTGAAATCTTAAATTCTCAAGTTTTCCTTAATTCCTGACTTAAAGCAAATAATTTCTGAGATTCAGTCCACGTGCAAGTTTTCAAACTCGTTGAGGGGAGGGAGGGGGAAGATTAAAGTTTGAAGCTAAAAAGATACTAGGCATGTTTATTTAGTAATTAATGAAACTAGTATTTTGCTCTTTACAAACGCAGAGGGATTTTTGAGTAGTGTATATATATATAAAACAAAGATCATATTTAAATCAGTTCATTCTCATTCAAGAGTCGTTTAAGAAACAGTTAATTTGAAGTTTTTGGCATCGCGTCGCTATCATAGAATTTAACAATTATTTTGTAACGATAAAACGTTTTAAAGTATTATAATTATAGTATCTGTGAGTAAAATTACAATTATATTAAAATTTTTCTTATTTAAAACTCATTAGTAATAGCATCTTATTAGTCAGACTAATTATATAAATATAATTATTTTATTATACATTTTTTTTCTTTCATTTTTTTAGGTATATAAATATAAAATAATATAATATAAATATAATATATTAAATTATATATTGTATTATATATAATATATATATATATATATATAATTTATTACATCATATATTATAATTATAATTGTGAATAAATCTTTTATCAGTAGTAAAAGATAGTTAGGTAATTTATTATCTGTTAAAAAAAATCGTGAATAATAGTAAAAATTTAGGTTACGAGAATATTTTTTTTTTTTTTTTTGCATAAAATTATGTAAATCAAAATATTTACAAATTTTTTTTTTTTATAGTTATTTGCCTATGGTACTAACATATAATTTTCATCACAGAGGCTTTCGTCAAAAGATTAATTGCCTGCTTTAAATGTGATTATTCCCCTCTGCGCCATAAAAAGAAGCTTATACTCGCATATAAAAGATTATATGAGTTTTGTGGACACAAAACATTATGTTCATAGTCACACGTTGACGTATAATATCTTCCTTCCTGGGTCAACTGTTCTCACACCCCTTGCAAAAGAGAGAGAGAGAGTGAAAGAAAGACTCTTGTGCCTGTGAGATAATAAATAATTTAGTCCCGGAAAATGTTGCGAATTATTACAGTTCGCACAGGTTTTGTATAGACCCGTTGAATTTCCGGATTTAAGAGTGGAAAAATGTAAGCAAAAAGGAGAGAGAGAGAGAGAAAGACTAAAATTCAGAGGGAAGAAGTCATCTCGTTGAAAATGTTACAGATAGTGTTTTGTACTTTCAACACTGTCAGAATTTTCCATTTATTCTTCTCTTACTCATTTTCCATGTAAAACTCAAGTACTTGATGTTATTATTATTATTAGCCAACGTACATTTCACATGAGGATAACGAGCACAACATATATAAATATATTCGTTGAGGGAAAATTGCATTTTACTCGGTTTATTATACTAACGATGTAATATCACTCCCTTTTATGCTCGAGACTGTTTGACTAAAATACGAATCCACTATTGTTGCAATAAAGGATGTAACTGTGGCTTTTTAGGATCTGACTTCATTTTCCTGAAGCTTTTTGAAGTATTCGGTAAGTTTCATGGGAAAATAACTTTTTATCGACTATCACGAAAAAAAAAAAATCACATTGTTTCCTATTACGGAGAAATTGCTGATTCAATCTAGGGGCAAGCAATTTTATTTGACTTCATTTTAATTTCAATATTAAAAGCACTTTCTGGGAAAAATTTTTTTTTTCACATGTACAATGGAGAAAATTAATTTTTTAAAAAAAGAATTTTTAAAGAAAAATTTGTTGATTGAAGAAAATTAATTTTTTAATTAAAGAATTCTTGTGCTTAATGAAAAATTTAATTACAATTTTTAGGGTATAAAAAATATTATTTTTATTTAAAAAAAAACGTTTTTAAATGCACAAAAAATTTTATTTTATAATTTCAATATTTAAAAAAATATTAATATTTAATATTTCGCACATTCTGCGAAATTTTTATTTTTCTTTACATTTTTTGTAGACTGAAGAAAATTAATTTTTTAAAGAAACAATTACTGTGCTTATTAAAAAATGTAATTTATTAACAAGTAAATTAATAAAAAATAATAATTTTTAGGAGATAAAAAAATGTTTATGATAAAAAAAACGTTTTTAAATGCACAAAAATGAAATTTTTATTTTATTATTCCTTTTTTTCAAGCTTTCAAATCTGTACAATTCTGTCATATAAAAGGATAATAAAAAATGAATAAATTTCCATTTGGACAATTAAATTTTTTACTTAAATATAATATAGATATGAAAACAAAATATACGATCAAATTGGTACATAAAAAAAAATGCTACATCACTTTTTTTCTCTGAGGAGGAAAAATTGAAAAATTTTTTTTAATAGATTAATAATGTTTTAATTTTTTAGTTTAAAATTTTTTTCTATAAATTTCTAAATTTTTTTTTGAATAAAATTTATATGGAATTTACAAAATAACTGAAATATGTGAACTAGTTGAAATGATACATTTTGATTGAATGTTCCTTGCATTCTTGACAGAGAGAAAATATTGTTTCGGATATCGGAAGCACAAACTCGAGTCACTATTCACTTACAATGACCATTAATTTTGAAATTTTTCGAAATGTAACGACGATATATATAAGTTCTTTTATACTAATGTCCCTCTGACTTTACTTTTATACGTCGCATTAGAGGTAATAAATGAAGCGCAATGCGCACTTATAAATTATGACTCGCCGTCGAAGGGATTTATTTGGGGGCGGAGTGAACGCAGTGAAAAAGCCACACTGGGGGCAGTTTAATGTGGTTAAAAGAGGGGACGTGAAAATAAGGCTCAAGTTTTTTTTTTCTTTTTTTTTTTCAAGATCAGAGACTTTTACTGCTTTCTCAGTTACGATTACCCTCTTTCTCTATTATATAAAATACACTCAACAATTTCTTGACATGTGAGATTAATTTACAAAAATGATTCGCAATAATGAAATCGACACTGAAACTCATCTTTTTCAAACAGAAATATAATCTCACAGAGTAATGTAGAAAATGCGAGGGAATTTTTTATATATAAAGAAATGATGAATTTTTTTTTCCAAAAATTTGAGGAATAAAAAACAATAAAGAAAAGTGAAAAATAGAGTAACTTTTACGAAAATTTCTTGTAAATATGAAAAGAATGAAGAAAAATTTTTTGCAGACAAATATTAAAAAAAAAATTTAAATATAAAAAATAAAAATACCTATTTAAAAAAATAAAATAAGTTGATTAAAAAAGTAATTTTTTTTATTATTACTCGAGCTTTAAAAAAAAATAATAATGAAACAATACAGTGATGAAAAATTGAATGAACAAAAAAGAGGAAAAATCTACAGAAACTGTTATTTTATAATTCCACAATAGAAAGTGAATTTTCAATTTTATAATTTAATGAAAACTTGACAAGTGTATATCAAATAAATTAAAATATAAAAAGAAGATAATAATTTCTTTTAATCTCTCCTGGTCAAACAAAATTGTAGTTTATATTACATATAAAAAAAGAGGGTGGTTACCATGAAAAATTCTTAATATTTGTGAATTTTTTTTTTTTTAAATATTTAAAGCGTGTTTTATTTATTTTTTTTTTTAGAAATAGAAGAGAAATTTTTTTTTTATCTTTCCATTCAGTATTTTCAATATTCGCGGATTTAGTTACTCTATCGCGAGAAACGTGTACCTCTCTACTTTTCACATCGTCGAACACGAAAGATTTCCTTACATATTCTTTTTCCCATTTTTGAGTTATGTGGGTCACATTGATGTCTCAAGTTTCACATATTGTAATGCATATTTTATCAAACAAAAGCGAATCAAAAAATTGTGGCCAATTCTCAAGGTGCGTGAAAAATTGCATTGATAAAACAAAAATCGTTCTATTGCTATTTTTTTTATAAAGCTGTTCAAAAATAAAAAATAATGAATAAAAATTCAAAAAAATTTATTCTTGAACAAAAATTATAAATTTTTTGAAACAATAATTTTTTTACTCTAAAAATTGTTGTTATTGAATTTCAATGTGAGAAAAATTTATATTCTATTGGATTTTTTTTTTGCTACTTATCTACTACATAAAGAAATTATAATATTCTTTCAAGTGTCTATTAAACTTGAAATGAATGAATTAGAATACAAACAAAAGCACTTGGATATTTATTAGTATACAATAAAATTTACATCTGTTTGAATAAATAATAAAAAATTACAATAAAAAAAAAAAAATATTTATTGAATTTTTTTTAATTAGACTCAAATTATATGCTTCTTTTAATATTCTATTATATTTACAAAAGAAGCATACTTTTGAAAAAATAAAACAAATTTAACAACAATGAAATTAAATAAACATTGAAAGTGGTATTATTATTTAAAAGAAAAAAGAAATATAATAAATTTTTCGCTAAATGATAAAAATTTACTATAAAAGGAAATGTCTTTTAATTTCATTTCAAAATTTAATTTCAAATAAAATTTACGAATTTAAATTCTCTATAATGAATTTTGTTAAAATTTTTGCAATTTTGTTAGTAATTGATAAAACTCGACATGTAAATGGAGAAATATTGCTTAAAGGTTACAATGCTAAAAGTTCTGCAGAAAGTGAGTATAAAATAAAATCTATTTTGATTATTTTTAAAAATAAATAATTACTTAATACCTAAATAATAAATAAAATAATTATAATTATTTAATAATTATATTATTATTATTTAATAACTAAATAACTATTTAATTAATAAAATAATTTTAGTTATTTAATTATTAAAATAATTATTTTTTTATTTAAAAAAAAATGGTTCTTTATTTATTATAAAATTAATTTAATTTATGAAATTTTTCAGTTGTATGTGGACCACGTGATATGTATGTAAAAAATGGTCGTTATTATTGCTACAGTATTGGTGAGACAATTTTAAATGAATACGAAAAACAGTATGGTTTAAAAGCAAGATTAAAACTGAATTATTATGAAGAATATCAAAAATTAATTGACACAATCGAAAGTAATTCATTCTGTGGTAAGTACTTAGCATAATACCATCAATCAGATCCATTATAGATATATTTTATAATTCATTAATTTTTGAAATTACGTTTTTAATTATAGAGGACGAGCCAAATGATTTACTTCTATTACTTTTTCCAAATGATTATGAAAAATATGTTGCTATTGGAAAAGTTATTCGAAAATTTCGTAATATCTCTTCATATTGCGGTAAAATAAATATTTTTCAACATTTTTATAATTATTAATTATTAAATAATACAATTTTTACAAGAAATTAATATTTATTTAGCAAACAATAAACAAATATTGATATAAATAAATTACAAACTAGAATTATTATTAATTAATTGATTGATTATTTATTTATTAAATTAATTTTTTCATCAGAATAGAAATTTTATAGTAAAATAGTTAAAGAAAAAAGAAATTAATAAAAATATTTATTATGTAGGTAAAATGGCAATGATGACAGGGGAAATGTTAACTGCACATAAATTAGAAGCAAAGATCCAACAACTTTTAGATGAGGGGATTTGTGGTATGATTATGAATTGTTATTATTAATTGAAAAACATTGTAATAAAATATAATTTATTGAAAGGTGGAAAGATTCATATTTGTCTCTTCTTATTTAAAAGCAATATAATAATTTTTCTTTTTAGAAAAAGTGAAAAAAGATGCAGAACAAGGAAGTATAACGAGAGATTCAAAGAGATTGCAAGAAATGGGAAGAGTTCTTAAAAAGAATGAATATTGTGGCAACCTCGAATCGTTGGGAAAAAAAATTTGTCGTAAGTTTTTTTTTCTCTCCAAAACACAAAAATTAAATATTTAATATATTAATAATTAATTTTAATTTTAGGCAGAGTCTTTCCTGCATGGATCGTTTGTGCAATAGCCAAATTATTTGGTGCCGATGTTTAATAAATTTAAAATAATAATTTTTGGAATAAATTTCAATTTTTTAAAATAATAATTTTCGAATATAGAAAAACGTCTACAATATTATTTGTACAAAAATTTAGCCAAAACAAATGTAGATAAAAAATAAATATATTTATTTGTTCTATATTTGCGTTTATTAACGCTTTTTTAACTCGCAGTCTTTTATTTTTTTTTTTATCGAAAAATGATAAAAGCTTTAATAGTTTTATCAGCGAAATAATAGTTAACACTAAACATTGAAGATAAAAATCCATTATTATAGTAAAAAAAAAAATTACAATTTTTCAGTAGATTGTTTTAAAATTATAAAAGCATTTTTTTTGTCAATTATTTTTAAATTTTAAATGAATTCAAGATAAATAAAATTTAATTTACTGAATAATTATTTGAAAAATATTGTAAAGTGATAAAATTAAATGACAGACTGAGTTTTTAATGAAATAATTTACATTTTTACAATACATATAATAATTGAATTAAAAGATAATTATTTAATATTATGTTAAAGAATATATATATATATAGTCGTTGATAATTTAAATTTTAATATTATACATTTTATTAATAATTTCTTTTTATAACTTTTTTTTTCTTTATACAAGTTATGGAATAAAACTTTTATTCTTAAAGTAGAAGCATCAGTGAAAGTTTAGTCTACTGAAATATTCAATACTAAAAAAAAGTTATAATATGCTTTTTTTTTTTTGCTCCAACTAATTTTCCACGGGTAAAGGTATTTTTATATTTTATTATAATAAAAAAATGTATATAATATTAAAAAATTTATATATTTTTTTAATAAAATATTTATATAATAAAAAAAGTTTATATTTTATTTTTATTTGCCCAATTTCCCTGAAGGTAATTTTTATATGAGTGAAGGAAATTTTTTCGATTAGGACAGTTACTGCACCAAAATTTTATATCCTATTATAAAAAGGTCATACGCATTACGCGTAACGCTCTTTCGTAAAAAAAATAAATTTCAATTAGTTAAATATAATATTATAATAATAACATAAAATATCATTATATATATATATAATATGCTTAGCAACGGTTGCTAAGGATATTTTTTTGCCTAACAACGGTTGCTAGGGATATTTTTTTGCCTAGCAACGGTTGCTAAGAACATTTTTTTTACCTAGCGACAGTTGCTAAGGACATTTTTTTACCTAGCAACGGTTGCTGAATATAAAGAGAAAATAAGAAGATATTGAAACAAAATTTTTTTTTATTTTAATTCACAAATTAGAAATTTTCTAAAGAAAGAAATAAAAATTTTGCTAACTGAGATTCAGATAAAAATTGCTGAGATTCATGCAATTACTTGATTCGCTTTATATGTATGTGAATATATTTCGCCTCAATATCTTCCACGAGTGTCGTGTTGTGAATTATGCAGGTAAGTACGCAAGGTCTAACCGTTGGGTACCATATCTACTTTTGAGATTCCATAGGTGGCCGCATTCATCCGCCAGAGAGAGAGAGAGAGCCTTGGTGTGTGCATTTGTATGCACGCCATACGTACAGTAATTTCAGCCTATCCTAGAATGGATCCCAAAGCTGTGTTTGTACCGTTTTATACGTATACCTTTCCATGAATATACTGCGCTATGACTCCTTCGGGAATGTTTCAACCCTCAGAACTCGGGAATTTCGAAGTGGTCCATTTCGAAGTGGATTCCCTTCGACTACAAATTATATGGAAGCTCTCTCTCTCTCTCTCTCTCTCTCTCTCTCTCTCTCTCTCTCTCTCTCTCTCTCTCTCTCTCTCTCTCTCTCTCTCTCTCTCTCTCTCTCTCTCTCTCTCTCTTTCTCTCTCTTCCTCATTCTTTCGACTAATGCCTTTCATTCACTCCCTTGAATCTCGAATGAATGTCTTTTGATTCGACATAATTATAATATTATGTCAATATTGTAATCGATATTAATCAGAGATTTTTATTATCAATTTTTTTTTTAATGTGAAAAGAATTCCAAAATCATAATTTTGATTTTATTATAATTATACTGCCCTACAAAATATATTTAAGTGACACACTTACGTATATGTTTATCCATTGTAATATTAAAAAAAAATTTATTTGATTCAAATAATCGGTTATTTGATTATCAAATAAATATTTACTTAAAGCAAATAATTTTTTATAAGGAAAAAAAAATCAAATTCATTTCTTTTAGTTAAAAAAAAAACTGAAATATAAATTTCCAAGTTGAAATAGATTCAAAGATGCTGGCAGCCTACAGAAACATCGAGAGAAGCCTAGAGCTTCAGAAAAGCCCTGGGCACTTAGAGAACTTGCTAACTCATAAAGCAAACATGATAAGATAGATAAGTGCATCTGGTTATGAGGATTAGTATAATTTCTTATATTTTCAATTCTCTACGAAAACTAAAGATAAGTTTTGAATTTTTACAAGTCCTAAAAATATTTCGAGAGATAAGAATCAATAATTGATTCTCTTCTTTTTTTTCTCCTTAAAAAAAAAATTCAAATATTCTACAAAAAAAAAAATTATTTTCTTTCGTTTTTTATGCTCCATTTTGTGTGGTAAAAATTGTATTATTCAGGTTTCAAAATGTCAGTAGCAAACAGCATATTAATTCAGACAAAGCTATTTACATTTTTTTTCTTACTTTTTGCAAACAGTGTTCTACTGATATTTCGTTGTTACGAAATATCAGTTAGACTTGGCGTAATCGTTATTTTTTGTTCCAGTAGTAAAAAGTCATTTAAGTCAGACAAAGCTGTTAAGATTCTTCAAATTTTTGGAAACAGTAGTACAAGTAAATAGCAGTCAGACTTTGTAGAATTTTCATTTTTGCAACCAGTAGTAAAAAACATTTAAAGTCAGACAAGGTTTTTAAATTTTCTTAAAGCTTTTGCAATCAGTAGTACAGTAAATATGAGTCAGACTTTGTAAACTTGTTTTTTTGTACCAGTAATAAAAAGCAAATTAAGTCAGACAAAGCTTTTTAAAATGTTTTAATTTTTTTAAATCAGTAGTAAAAGTAAATATCAGTCAGACTTTGTAAACTCGTCATCTTTTGTACTAGTAGTAAAAAGAAGTTTAAATCAGACAAAAATTTTTTTTTTTGGAATCAGTAGTGCAAGAAAATAGCAGTCAGACTTTATAGAAATTTCATTTTTTTTCTTGTAATTTTAATTACAATATTTTTATGGAACTTTTTCATCTAATTAAAATTGTACCAAAAAAAAAAAGTAATAAGCCTGTACAGTTTGATAAAACCTCACTCAATATAATTATCGTTTAAATGTGATTACTTTAGCGACTAATAAGACGAAAATTTTGGACTTTTTTCTTGAGTGAAAATTCTTTCGCTATACATAAGGGGTTTGGGGAGGATAAAAAAAAAGTTAAGAATAAGGGACCTTGGAAACAAACGATCGTATTTTTCTGAAAGCTGGTGCCTTTGGACGAGGGCTGTGAGAGCTTTATCGTTCCCGTCCTTGCACGTGTACGTGTGTACATATGTGCTTTTTGTCTTGGACCAAGACCCTCATCAAATTTCCTGTCGTCGAGAAGTTCGCACAGTTTAACGTCATCCTCGGGCAGTTTGTTTAGGCTGCAATGGCCACGAAGGACATTTTACGCCAAATGGATAAAGATGATCGTCGTCTCTGATAAATGGGCTTATCGCCAGATTTTCCCTGTTCCCAAAAACACACACTTTCTCTTTCTCTCGCTCACTCACTCTCACTTCACATCATTTAAAAAAATAGACATCTCCCTTTTTTTCAATTTATTCCCATCCTCCATTTGTTTTCAATTTTTTTTTTTCAAATCGAAAAAGAAGACAATCTTCCACCATAAATATAATATTCTTCCTTTAAGAGGATTTGATATTTATATTAACATTAAAATATAAATTTAATAATAACAACTGTCTTTTCTCTTTTTTTTCATATATTGTATAAAAATCTCCAAAATATAAATTTGAGAAAACCTGAGAGAAGAGGAAAATTTTTCAAAAAGGTAAAACTTGCATGGAAAAAAGTTTTTATATTTACAAAAAAAAAACCTTGAGATCCCCGAAATAGTGCTTTAGACTGAGAATCTTCCGGACCATATTTTTTTTTTATATAAAGAAAAACTCCTCTCTACATTACTCTGGAAACTTCCGGTCTTTCACGATGTGGAAAAGCTCACTTCTCTAAAGAAAACACGATTACAACGGATTCCTAATAGAAGCTTACTCTGACAAGATCAAACATTTAATTTCGTTTAAGAAGTTGCGAAAATCTGAAAAAGAATCGAATCGAATCTTGTTACGTGTTCAACTTGACGTTAAAATGGTTCATTCCAGTTGCCTTGTAATTGGATAGAGGTGGAAAAAAAGTGTAATAAAGAGAACAAATGAAAAGAAAATTAACAAACAACAATAAATTATAGAATCCTTTGATATTTTCATCAGCTAACAGAAAACAATGCTGTTGAAACGTTAGCAAAAATAAAAACAATAATAAATAATAATAAACAATAATAATAAAAACAAGTTGTAAATTCAGATGTTCATTACATGAACATTTTGCTTCCTCTTTACGATCACCAAAAAAATTCAATTTTTCTTAGGCAGACGATTTTATTGCATATTCTTGCACAAAATACACCGAAAAGTGTAGAAAATAATTGACACCCACATCCGAGTAGAGGAAGACCCTTTTTATGACCAAAAACGCATCCAAAAGCATAAAAAACTTGCCAAAAAAATTCAATTTTTCTTAGGCAGACGATTTTATTGCATATTCTTGCACAAAATACACCGAAAAGTGTAGAAAAAAATTGACACCCAGATCCGAGTAGAGGAAGACCCTTTTTATGACCAAAAACGCATCCAAAAGCATAAAAAACTTGCCAAAAAAATTCAATTTTTCTTAGGCAGACGATTTTATTGCATATTCTTGCACAAAATACACCGAAAAGTGTAGAAAAAAATTGACACCCAGATCCGAGTAGAGGAAGACCCTTTTTATGACCAAAAACGCATCCAAAAGCATAAAAAACTTGCCAAAAAAATTCAATTTTTCTTAGGCAGACGATTTTATTGCATATTCTTGCACAAAATACACCGAAAAGTGTAGAAAAAAATTGACACCCAG